ACCACAAAATCTGAACACAAAAATGTTTGGCTTCTTTTATATAAAAATATATTTATTTATTAACATATTTTTTTTAAAAAACCCTTCTTATTTTAATTGGGTAGGAATATGCTATACATTTTTTCCCTCCTCCCCTTCCCTCCTAAGGTTTGGATTCTTGATTTTTCCAGGGTCTAGAACAGGACTCGTGTTCCAAATGTGTTGGTTTCTGCATAAGTGGGCATTAGGAAGCCATGCATTCACAAGATAAGATGGATAAGAAATAAGAGATGTGGAACTGGGGCCGGAGAGATGATGTAGCAATTGAAGGAAGAAGTCGCTTTTGCAGTGAACCAGAGTTGGGTTCTTAACACCCACACAACCCAATGTCCCTTGACTCCTGCTCCGGGGCATCTGGCACACTCTGGCTTTGGAAGGCACTGCAGCCACGGGCACATATTCCCCACCCCTGCAACATAATAAATAAACTAAAATGTGAAAGGCGGAGCTGTGAGAAGGAAGGGAGAATAAGAGGAAGAGTGATGTATAAGAGGAAGAGTGATGTACTCAGGCAGAAATGCAACTCTAAAAGAGAGAGCAGGGTGGTGGTGGCGTGCACCTTTAATCCCAACTCTTCAGAGGCAGAGATCAGCCTGGGTTATGGAGCAAGTTTCAGAACTGTCAGGGTTATACAAAAAAAACCTTGTCTTGAAAATCAGACAGAAAAACAAACAAAGATTCTGGAAGAGGAACAAAGAAAAACAAAAAGTTTAACATACAGAATAAAAGAAAGTCAGAGAAATGCAAAAACAGGGCAAGTCAGACAAAGAGACAGGATACTGAGGAAGGGACAGGAATATGGTGGCAGGGAGACCCGCAGACATTTGAAAGAAAGAATTACAGCAGAGATATCTCAGGTGAGAGAAGCCAGAGACACGAGATATGTGAGGAGAGAAATTAGAGTATTGTGGAGAGGGATATGGGTTGAGAGATGCTTATAGATCTGAGAAAACAGAAGAGAAAGGGAGCAGGAACAGCACGGCACCTCCGATGACCAGGGTTCGAGTCTCAGGACCCATATGGTGGAAGGAAAGAATTGACTCTTACAAGCTGTCCTATAACCTCTATCCCCTCAATAGATAAGTAAACAAAAAAAATAGATAATGTAAAAACAGAGAGGAAGCAAAAGAGCGAAGGAGAAAATGCTAGAACAGAGAGGTTTTCCTGGCTTTCCTCTCAGGGTGGCTTCCGTTCTCACATCTAGAAGGGGTAGCTAGGGGCCCATGGGGATCTGGGGCCATGATCAATGCCCTGAAGCCTCATTACTGATGGCCAATAATGGGTCCTTGTGGGAGCCAAGCGCAGTCTTGATGTCCTGACCCAGGGAGTCTGTAATTGCTCTTCCAGTTCCTCCGTGTCAGAGCTCTCTACGGATCTGGGTAGAGGGCTTAAACTCATTCTACACTGAACACAGTCTGGATAATTTGCTATTTCCCCCACTGCTGAGCCCAGGAGCCTCATGCACACTGTATCCTTGCTGGTGGGATGAATCTATCTACTCCATGATGGGGATGTGTAGCCATGGAGTCACCACGCGGTAGAGGAGGTGAGGGGTTTCTGTGGGGGGAGCATGTTGAGATTTCAGATTCTTGAGGGAGACCCACAGGGGGCCTGTGAGATATTCTGTGATTTGGAGAACCTGCTGTACAAAGTGATTTGTGTGCATATAGGGCAGGAAGGTTCCCGGGGGAATCCCATCTCTCCTCCATCACAGTCTTGACCTAATATTCACAGGTCAGGACCATAGGCATCTCTCAAGATTGACTTCCTTCTATGTACCTGTGGCATCAGTGGGTCTATAATTGCTAGAAGACCCAGATATCTGTGAATCTCACGTTCAGTCGTGGTCTCTCTTATAAGTCTTGGGCTCTATCAAGTGCTTGGTAGACCATACTAGTTTATGGATCCAACAAGGGCCTAAGAAATGTAATACTTAGGATGAATACGATATTGCATACCTCTATTGCTTTCACTTGGCAAACAGTAGAAAAAGTTTGGGTCTAGCCTGGGATACATAGCAAGTTCCAGGCTAGCCTTAGCTATATAGCAAGACTGTTGAAAAGATGGGAAAAGAGTGGTCTCCAAAACTCAAAGAGGAGAAAAGGGAGTAAGTGCTTCCTCTTCTTCTTCTTCTTCTTCTTCTTCTTCTTCTTCTTCTTCTTCTTCTTTCTCTTCATCTTCCTCTTCCTCCCCCTTCTTCTTCTGGTTTTATGAGACAGGGTTTCTCTGTGGTATGGTCTAGCTGTCCTGGAACTTGATTTATAGACCAGGCTGGCCTCAAACTCACTGAGATCCACCTGCCTCTGCCTCCCAAGTGCTGGATTAAAGGCGTGCTCCATCACCGTCTGACTAGTTCTCCCTTCTTTAAAGTGAGCATGAGTTTGCAGTAAAGGGCAAGGGAAAATTTGAGAGTTGCTTTTACATGTGTGCATATAGCACTGCTCTAGAATCAAGGTCCATATTCTTACTAAATCATGGAGTCTTCTCAGATGTCCCAGGCAATCAGAATGTGTTGCCTTGTGATTGGCACATTCAGGTCCCCCTTGGCAGGACCTTGGCTAGAACCATATGCTTGTTTTCCTTCCACTCATCACCTTCCAGCCAATGACTGCTTTGTCCCAGCCATGCTCACTCTGTCATGTGACCTGCACTCACGTCTTCCGGGTGTCTATGGGCTCCTGCCTCCAACACCGCCTCCCTAGTCTTGACAGACATTGTCTAATGGCTCCTTGTATGTTAATATATTCTTCAAGCAAGTTTGTAAGTGATGTGCAGAGATTGTCTGCATCTTACAAAAGAGGAAATAGACAGAAGGACTTTTTTTTTGGACATAGGCAGAATAAGCATAGAGCAAATCAACTGTAGAGGTCACCCATCTTACTCTTTTCCTGTCCTTTCAACAAATGGCCTTTGGATACTTCATCACAAGACTTTGAGGTCAGCCTGGGATGTATCTGTGGAGGAGTTCTGGAGGGTGAGAGACAGTTGTGGTCTCCCTAAGGTGGTCTCTCTGGCAAGGAACAGGCCAGATTTTCCCATGAACACTTTGTTTTCCTAGTGTCTGTTTAAATTGGACCCTGCAGCAGAGAGAGGCAGAACTGCGCCAGGGGTTTCATGCATGGCTGTGTCTAAACACGAACTGACCCAGGCCACTGTACTGAAGAGAGAATGAGGGTTAGAAAAAGGAGAGAGGGAATGGAGAGTGGTGAGGGATGAAGGGGCGAGGAGAACAGGAGGAAGAGGCGGAGGAGGGGAGGAGCAGATGGAGGAGGCAGAGGAGGCCATTAGAGGCAGGGACACTGGTGGGGACCTAGACACAGAACTGTAAGAAAGCATAGGAATGGAAGAGGGGAAAGGTGGGACAAGAGGAGAGAGGAAAAAGGCACAAAAAGGTAGCTGGGCAGAGAGAGAAGGAAAAGCTAGAGAGACAGGGAAAGGTAAAAAGAAGAGAGGAACAGGTGTGACTGAAGGAAAGAGGAAAGGAAAAAGGGAAGATAGGAAAGGGGTGGGCAGGTTCTGTGATGCAGGAGAGGGGGAGTGGAAAGAAAATTGATGGATGGAATTAAAGTTACAGGAAAGACAATCTGAAAGTGTTGTGAGAAGCCAGGAGGAAATGGTGGTGGGGGAGGAAAAGGCAACTTGGAGAGGGAAGAGGAGAGGAGAGGAAAAGAAAGAGATGAGGTGAAGGGAGGGGATGAGGTGTGCTTCTGACTTGCCCATGTCATAGGACCGTTGTATAGTATAGTCTCTTTCCAGCAAAGTAGAGATGGCCTCTTGAGATGTAATCTTGGGTCCCAAGCACAACCCTGGGCCTTAAGAATGATTGGCACAGAGAGGAAGGAGAGATGGTGACTTCAGAAGCCAGAAGAGGAGGGAGAAGAATGGCAGCAGAGGGCAGCTCAGAAAGCTCGGGGTGTGGATCACCCTGGGTTTATGTTTGGGTGTGGGGGTCACTGGTTCCCCGGAGCTGGCTTGGTCTTACAACCCCTAACATACCTCCCCTGAGCTGCCAGGTGGCCCCTCCCACTGTGTGAGCTATTTTGGGCTGAAGGACTGAATGACAAGTTGGAGTTCAGGTTAGGGCTAGAATTAGAGGAGTAGAGTTGGGGGTCCCGGGCTCTTATGAGAACTTAGACAAAACCAGCTGGAATTAACCTGGCGGGGGAGAATTATTGAGCCAGAAGGTCATGTAGAACTATGGAGACATGGAGAGAAAATGTAAGGGAAGTAGAAAGGGAGACGGTGGGGAGAGGGAAGGAAGAGGGAGGATGAAGAAGAGGAAGAGAGAGAGAGAGAGAGAGAGAGAGAGAGAGAGAGAGAGAGGATAAAGGAGAAGTGGAGGAGAGAGATTGGAAGGAGTGAGAGAGGGGAAATGGGGGAGATGGAGGATGGAGGGAGGGAGGGAGGGAGGGAAGAGAGAGAGACAGAGAAGAGGGAAGGGGTGTGAGAGGAGGGAGAAGAGAGAAGGAGGAAGAATGAGGGGTAGAGGGGAAAAGCTGGGGATGGAGAAAGGGAAGGAAACAGGGCGAGAGTGAAGGGAAGAGGGAGGAGGAAGAAAGATATGGAGGTGAAAGGGGGCAGAGATAAATTCTTTTAAAACTAATATAGAAAATATATTTTTTCAATTGATTAGTTTGTCACTGTGATCTTCAGTGTGTGTGTGTGTGTGTGTGTGTGTGTGTGTGTGTGTGTGTGTGTG